TGAGCGTGACACACACAGCAGGCAGCAACATTGAGCGTGACACACACAGCAGGCAGCAACATTGAGCGTGATACACACACACAGCAGGCAGCAACACTGAGTGTGACATACACAGCAGGCAGCAACACTGAGCGTGACATACACAGCAGGCAGCAACATTGAGCGTGATACAAACTCACACAGCAGGCAGCAACACTGAGCGTGACACACACAGCAGGCAGCAACATTGAGCGTGACACACACAGCAGGCAGCAACACTGAGTGTGACACACACACACAGCAGGCAGCAACACTGAGCGTGACATACACAGCAGGCAGCAACACTGAGTGTGACACACACACACACAGCAGGCAGCAACACTGAGCGTGACACACACAGCAGGCAGCAACATTGAGCGTGACACACACAGCAGGCAGCAACATTGAGCGTGACACACACAGCAGGCAGCAACATTGAGCGTGACACACACAGCAGGCAGCAACATTGAGCGTGATACACACACACAGCAGGCAGCAACACTGAGCGTGACGCACACAGCAGGCAGCAACATTGAGCGTGACACACACACAGCAGGCAGCAACACTGAGCGTGACACACACACACACAGCAGGCAGCAACACTGAGCGTGACACACACAGCAGGCAGCAACATTGAGCGTGACACACACAGCAGGTAGCAACATTGAGCGTGATACACACACACAGCAGGCAGCAACATTGAGCGTGACAAACACAGCAGTTGAGCGTGACACACACAGCAGGCAGCAACATTGAGCGTGACACACACAGCAGGCAGCAACATAGCGTGACACACACACAGCAGGCAGCAACACTGAGCGTGACGCACACAGCAGGCAGCAACATTGAGCGTGATACACACACAGCAGGCAGCAACACTGAGCGTGATACACACACACAGCAGGCAGCAACACTGAGCGTGACACACACAGCAGTTGAGCGTGATACACACACACAGCAGGCAGCAACACTGAGCGTGACACACACAGCAGGCAGCAACATTGAGCGTGACACACACACACAGCAGGCAGCAACACTGAGTGTGACACACACAGCAGGCAGCAACATTGAGCGTGACACACACACAGCAGGCAGCAACATTGAGCGTGACACACACAGCAGGCAGCAACATTGAGCGTGATACAAACACACACAGCAGGCAGCAACACTGAGCGTGACACACACAGCAGGCAGCAACATTGAGCGTGACACACACAGCAGGCAGCAACATTGAGCGTGACACACACAACAGGCAGCAACATTGAGCGTGATACAAACACACACAGCAGGCAGCAACACTGAGCGTGACACACACAGCAGGCAGCAACATTGAGCGTGACACACACAGCAGGCAGCAACATTGAGCGTGATACACACACACAGCAGGCAGCAACACTGAGTGTGACATACACAGCAGGCAGCAACACTGAGCGTGACATACACAGCAGGCAGCAACATTGAGCGTGATACAAACACACACAGCAGGCAGCAACACTGAGCGTGACACACACAGGCAGCAACATTGAGCGTGACACACACAGCAGGCAGCAACACTGAGTGTGACACACACACACAGCAGGCAGCAACACTGAGCGTGACATACACAGCAGGCAGCAACACTGAGTGTGACACACACACACAGCAGGCAGCAACACTGAGCGTGACACACACAGCAGGCAGCAACATTGAGCGTGACACACACACACAGCAGGCAGCAACACTGAGCGTGACACACACAGCAGGCAGCAACATTGAGCGTGACACACACAGCAGGCAGCAACATTGAGCGTGACACACACAGCAGGCAGCAACATTGAGCGTGACACACACAGCAGGCAGCAACATTGAGCGTGATACACACACACAGCAGGCAGCAACACTGAGCGTGACGCACACAGCAGGCAGCAACATTGAGCGTGATACACACACACAGCAGGCAGCAACACTGAGCGTGATACACACACACAGCAGGCAGCAACACTGAGCGTGATACACACACACAGCAGGCAGCAACACTGAGCGTGACACACACAGCAGGCAGTAACATTGAGCGTGACACACACAGCAGGCAGCAACACTGAGTGTGACACACACACAGCAGGCAGCAACACTGAGCGTGACATACACAGCAGGCAGCAACACTGAGTGTGACACACACACACAGCAGGCAGCAACACTGAGCGTGACACACACACAGCAGGCAGCAACAACATTGAGCGTGATACACACACAGCAGGCAGCAACATTGAGCGTGACACACACAGCAGGCAGCAACATTGAGCGTGACACACACAGCAGGCAGCAACATTGAGCGTGACACACACAGCAGGCAGCAACATTGAGCGTGATACACACACACAGCAGGCAGCAACACTGAGCGTGACACACACACAGCAGGCAGCAACACTGAGCGTGACACACACACAGCAGGCAGCAACACTGAGCGTGATACACACACACAGCAGGCAGCAACACTGAGCGTGATACACACACACAGCAGGCAGCAACACTGAGCGTGATACACACACACAGCAGGCAGCAACACTGAGCGTGATACACACACACAGCAGGCAGCAACATTGAGCGTGATACACACACACAGCAGGCAGCAACATTGAGCGTGATACACACACACACAGCAGGCAGCAACACTGAGCGTGATACACACACACAGCAGGCAGCAACATTGAGCGTGATACACACACACAGCAGGCACCAACACTGAGCGTGATACACACACACACAGCAGGCAGCAACACTGAGCGTGATACACACACACAGCAGGCAGCAACATTGAGCGTGATACACACACACACAGCAGGCAGCAACACTGAGTGTGATACACACACACAGCAGGCAGCAACACTGAGCGTGATACACACACACAGCAGGCAGCAACACTGAGCGTGATACACACACACACAGCAGGCAGCAACACTGAGCGTGACACACACACAGCAGGCAGCAACACTGAGCGTGACACACACACAGCAGGCAGCAACACTGAGCGTGATACACACACACACAGCAGGCAGCAACACTGAGCGTGATACACACACACACAGCAGGCAGCAACATTGAGCGTGATACACACACACACAGCAGGCAGCAACATTGAGCGTGATACACACACACACAGCAGGCAGCAACATTGAGCGTGATACACACACACACAGCAGGCAGCAACATTGAGCGTGATACACACACACACAGCAGGCAGCAACATTGAGCGTGATACACACACACACAGCAGGCAGCAACACTGAGCGTGATACACACAGCAGGCAGCAACACTGAGAGTGACACCTACCAGCCCATGTACCAAGGTACCTCAGCCCCTCCTCCCGTGTTGGAAGTACTTATAGTAACGAGGAGGACCATAGTTCATATACCCCACGTGAGGACCATAGTTCATATACCCCACGTGAGGACCATAGTTCATATACCCCACGTGAGGACCATAGTTCATATACCCCACGTGAGGACCATAGTTCATATACCCCACGTGAGGACCATAGTTCATATACCCCACGTGAGGACCATAGTTCATATACCCCACGTGAGGACCATAGTTCATATACCCCACGTGAGGACCATAGTTCATATACCCCACGTGAGGACCATAGTTCATATACCCCACGTGAGGACCATAGTTCATATACCCCACGTGAGGACCATAGTTCATATACCCCACGTGAGGACCATAGTTCATATACCCCACGTGAGGACCATAGTTCATATACCCCACGTGAGGACCATAGTTCATATACCCCACGTGAGGACCATAGTTCATATACCCCACGTGAGGACCATAGTTCATATACCCCACGTGAGGACCATAGTTCATATACCCTACGTGAGGACCATAGTTCATATACCCCACGTGAGGACCATAGTTCATATACCCCACGTGAGGACCATAGTTCATATACCCCACGTGAGGACCATAGTTCATATACCCTACGTGAGGACCATAGTTCATATACCCCACGTGAGGACCATAGTTCATATACCCCACGTGAGGACCATAGTTCATATACCCCACGTGAGGACCATAGTTCATATACCCCACGTGAGGACCATAGTTCATATACCCTACGTGAGGACCATAGTTCATATACCCCACGTGAGGACCATAGTTCATATACCCCACGTGAGGACCATAGTTCATATACCCCACGTGAGGACCATAGTTCATATACCCCACGTGAGGACCATAGTTCATATACCCCACGTGAGGACCATAGTTCATATACCCCACGTGAGGACCATAGTTCATATACCCCACGTGAGGACCATAGTTCATATACCCCACGTGAGGACCATAGTTCATATACCCCACGTGAGGACCATAGTTCATATACCCCACCTACAACGATGTTAAAGAGTAGAAATCTGTACTATTGAGTTGGACAATCCGGAAAATTACTTTTTACTTGTGTTGCTTTGAGAAGCTAAACTAATATATCCTATTCTTCCTAGGCGTAATACACGATATCTGAGTCCTAATATAGCACATATGTGTGCTATATTAGGCCTGGGACTATTTAAGTTAGTTTTTTAGTTTCATTTATTTTAAAAGAACTCCTTACTAGTCAGTATACAACTATATAGAAGATAAGAACGTACGAATTCGTGACTATTGACGACCGTCACAATAGTTACTATCTAAACAAGAGGACGGGTTGGCTACTGTCTAAACAGGTGGATGGGTTGGCTACTGTCTAAACAGGTGGATGGGTTGGCTACTGTCTAAACAGGTGGATGGGTTGGCTACTGTCTAAACAGGTGGATGGGTTGGCTACTGTCTAAACAGGTGGATGGGTTGGCTACTGTCTAAACAGGTGGATGGGTTGGCTACTGTCTAAACAGGTGGACGGGTTGGCTACTGTCTAAACAGGTGGATGGGTTGGCTACTGTCTCGCAGGTATACCCACGTAAACTCAGCTACAATGTTTAGGTAACTGGTCAAGAACACTTACCTTTTTTCCATAGAAATTGGCGACCCAGAGATTACCAACTTCGTCAATACACATTCCATCAGGGATGTCCTTTCCCAGACCAGACGTTTTGTAGTCCACCACAGTGCGACGATTTTCTGAATAACAACAAATAGTGTACACCGCTGTCATGTTGAGGGTCCAAGTTCAGGTGTATTTTTACTTAATATGCTAATGGACTCATCTTTTACGAAAGGATTTATAATACAAATTTAGCTAGTCATTCACAATGTATGATGAATTCCTTCCTCGGACGAATAAACTTGAGCTGGATTAAAGGTGTTAAATAAGTGGATATAAAAATTACTTGCAACATCTGGAATTAAAAGCCATATTAAGTGTTAGTCACGAGAGTGGAGTACAGGGTATTTATCTGAACAGAAAAACAAGACAATAACTTGCCATGTGAAGTAATAACTCAGGAGACAGTCTAAGGACAGAATCACCAAGACTCAGAAGACATACTTAAACGAAACAAATAATATCTTATAAACAATGGTAATATATACTGTATAAAAGGTAATGAGGTGTGGGTGTAGCAGACTATCAGACATGGTCCACACAGGAAGGTGTGGGTGTAGCAGACTATCAGACATGGTCCACACAGGAAGGTGTGGGTGTAGCAGACTGTCAGACAAGGTCCACACAGGAAGGTGTGGGTGTAGCAGACTATCAGACATGGTCCACACAGGAAGGTGTGGGTGTAGGAGACTATCAGACATGGTCCACACAGGAAGGTGTGGGTGTAGCAGACTATCAGACAAGGTCCACACAGGAAGGTGTGGGTGTAGGAGACTATCAGACATGGTCCACACAGGAAGGTGTGGGTGTAGGAGACTGTCAGACATGGTCCACACAGGAAGGTGTGGGTGTAGGAGACTGTCAGACAAGGTCCACACAGGAAGGTGTGGGTGTAGCAGACTATCAGACATGGTCCACACAGGAAGGTGTGGGTGTAGCAGACTATCAGACATGGTCCACACAGGAAGGTGTGGGTGTAGCAGACTATCAGACAAGGTCCACACAGGAAGGTGTGGGTGTAGGAGACTATCAGACATGGTCCACACAGGAAGGTGTGGGTGTAGGAGACTGTCAGACATGGTCCACACAGGAAGGTGTGGGTGTAGGAGACTGTCAGACAAGGTCCACACAGGAAGGTGTGGGTGTAGCAGACTATCAGACATGGTCCACACAGGAAGGTGTGGGTGTAGCAGACTATCAGACAAGGTCCACACAGGAAGGTGTGGGTGTAGCAGACTATCAGACATGGTCCACACAGGAAGGTGTGGGTGTAGGAGACTGTCAGACATGATCCACACAGGAAGGTGTGGGTGTAGGAGACTATCAGACATGGTCCACACAGGAAGGTGTGGGTGTAGCAGACTATCAGACAAGGTCCACACAGGAAGGTGTGGGTGTAGGAGACTATCAGACATGGTCCACACAGGAAGGTGTGGGTGTAGCAGACTGTCAGACATGGTCCACACAGGAAGGTGTGGGTGTAGCAGACTGTCAGACATGGTCCACACAGGAAGGTGTGGGTGTAGGAGACAAGGTCCACACAGGAAGGTGTGGGTGTAGCAGACAAGTCAGACATGGTCCACACAGGAAGGTGTGGGTGTAGCAGACTATCAGACATGGTCCACACAGGAAGGTGTGGGTGTAGCAGACTATCAGACATGGTCCACACAGGAAGGTGTGGGTGTAGCAGACTAGACATGGTCCACACAGGAAGGTGTGGGTGTAGCAGACTGTCAGACAAGGTCCACACAGGAAGGTGTGGGTGTAGCAGACTATCAGACATGGTCCACACAGGAAGGTGTGGGTGTAGCAGACTATCAGACATGGTCCACACAGGAAGGTGTGGGTGTAGCAGACTGTCAGACATGGTCCACACAGGAAGGTGTGGGTGTAGCAGACTATCAGACATGGTCCACACAGGAAGGTGTGGGTGTAGCAGACTATCAGACATGGTCCACACAGGAAGGTGTGGGTGTAGCAGACTGTCAGACATGGTCCACACAGGAAGGTGTGGGTGTAGCAGACTATCAGACATGGTCCACACAGGAAGGTGTGGGTGTAGCAGACTATCAGACATGGTCCACACAGGAAGGTGTGGGTGTAGCAGACTATCAGACATGGTCCACACAGGAAGGTGTGGGTGTAGCAGACTAGCAGACTATCAGACAAGGTCCACACAGGAAGGTGTGGGTGTAGCAGACTATCAGACATGGTCCACACAGGAAGGTGTGGGTGTAGCAGACTATCAGACATGGTCCACACAGGAAGGTGTGGGTGTAGCAGACTGTCAGACATGGTCCACACAGGAAGGTGTGGGTGTAGCAGACTATCAGACATGGTCCACACAGGAAGGTGTGGGTGTAGCAGACTGTCAGACATGGTCCACACAGGAAGGTGTGGGTGTAGCAGACTATCAGACATGGTCCACACAGGAAGGTGTGGGTGTAGCAGACTATCAGACATGGTCCACACAGGAAGGTGTGGGTGTAGCAGACTATCAGACATGGTCCACACAGGAAGGTGTGGGTGTAGCAGACTATCAGACAAGGTCCACACAGGAAGGTGGGGGTGTAGCAGACTATCAGACATGGTCCACACAAGAAGGTGTGGGTGTAGCAGACTGTCAGACATGGTCCACACAGGAAGGTGTGGGTGTAGCAGACTATCAGACAAGGTCCACACAGGAAGGTGTGGGTGTAGCAGACTATCAGACATGGTCCACACAGGAAGGTGTGGGTGTAGCAGACTATCAGACATGGTCCACACAGGAAGGTGTGGGTGTAGCAGACTATCAGACATGGTCCACACAGGAAGGTGTGGGTGTAGCAGACTATCAGACAAGGTCCACACAGGAAGGTGTGGGTGTAGCAGACTATCAGACATGGTCCACACAGGAAGGTGTGGGTGTAGCAGACTATCAGACAAGGTCCACACAGGAAGGTGTGGGTGTAGCAGACTATCAGACATGGTCCACACAGGAAGGTGTGGGTGTAGCAGACTATCAGACATGGTCCACACAGGAAGGTGTGGGTGTAGCAGACTATCAGACAAGGTCCACACAGGAAGGTGTGGGTGTAGCAGACTATCAGACATGGTCCACACAGGAAGGTGTGGGTGTAGCAGACTATCAGACATGGTCCACACAGGAAGGTGTGGGTGTAGCAGACTATCAGACAAGGTCCACACAGGAAGGTGTGGGTGTAGCAGACTATCAGACATGGTCCACACAGGAAGGTGTGGGTGTAGCAGACTATCAGACATGGTCCACACAGGAAGGTGTGGGTGTAGCAGACTATCAGACATGGTCCACACAGGAAGGTGTGGGTGTAGCAGACTATCAGACATGGTCCACACAGGAAGGTGTGGGTGTAGCAGACTATCAGACATGGTCCACACAGGAAGGTGTGGGTGTAGCAGACTATCAGACATGGTCCACACAAGAAGGTGTAGGTGTAGCAGACTCTGAACACCTCTGCAATAAGTGTTCAAGAATACATCCTCTCTCCACACCTCTGTAGCAGTTGTTGGGAATTTGACTATGGTCCCTTATGTACTAGCGAGATATATCCCTTTGTCCCTTGTGTAGAGAGGCTGATCATTCTCAGGCAGAGTAATCTTGTCATCAAGCTCGCTGCATCAACTGTTATGAGACCCGTCCTCCCTTCTCCCACATGTATGAACGAGATATTTGAACAATCAACCTTCAACTTAAAATATCGCGATCGTATATCTTTCCCTGAGCAAGAAGCTCAGTCCGCCGTTTATACCACTTTCTCCGACATGACTTATCCGTTGCATCACACTTTTCTTCCCCGGCTCTTCTTCACTCTTAATTTCACAACTATTTGCAGGTCTTAAACCCTGATACCTTCACCACCTGCTCCCAGTCTTCCGCTTCCCCGCACTCTGAAACTGAGTGTTCCTCATGGTTCACCGACTGGTGTTTCCACCCTTCCTTCCCAATCTTCTCCTTCCCTTCACCTTAGTGTAATTTCTCCACCTCCACCCTTTTCTCTATCCACTGTGACCTTTATTTTTCTACGCCGATTTTCTTCTCAGTCGTCCGCTCGCTCTTTTGGCCCACCATTACAAATGTCCGTCCAGGCCGATATCCATTCTCCTGCCAGCCGTCTTTGTGTTGTCCGGTCTCGTTCTCCCTCTCTGCCTGAGACCTTGGAGACTTGCAATGTACATTGCTACTGGTGCGCCTGTGTCTCGCAGTCAGTAACACACCTGGTTCCTCTCCAGCGGGTAAGAAAGTTTCAGTCTATCCCCAACTTTCCACCTCCGGCTCTCTCCCTGCGTCTCCTCCCATCTTGGTGGGGGAGTCTACTGACCCTGCTATGGAGATTCCCATGGCCCTTGATTCTCCTTTTGATGATACTATTGATCAAGAGCACTCTGCTGTTTCTGTCCTTCGTCACCACCATTTCTTTGACTGCCCCTTCCCTGTGTCTCGTCCTACACCGCACCCTGTCAGTTCCCCCATGCCTCTTCCCGCCACCCTCTCAACTCTGCCGTCTTTGCTAAATTTAACTATGCCACCAACCCTGATTTCAATATATCTGCTCCTTCTTCTCCTGTGTTCTTTACCTTAGATTTTCCCTTTTCTTTTTACTTTTATCTCTGTTCTTGACTATATCTATTCTTCACTCAAGTATTTTTTTACGCCTATTTCCATGACAAACAGGTTCTGATCTCTCAGTTTTCGCCACTTTATGTCTGTCTGGAGGAGCCGATGCTTGGAGTTCGTCCTGGTCGCTTCCATGGTTATTCCTTTCTCTCTTCCCCTCCAGCTTTTGCTTGGCCCCCATACCTCTACCGCTCTCTTGATCCGTCTTGATATTCCCTTCATCCGCCTACTTTTTCAGAGGACAGAACATTCTGTCCTCTGCTGCCCGTATCTTTGTGAGTAAATTGCAAACCGCCTGTTTCATTTATCTCAGCCCGCATATTCTGCTTTCTCTTAATGCTCTTAAACACTTGTTGTACTCCTTACTGGAGCCTGTGCTCCTTTTCGGTGATTGTAACTGTGGACATACTCTATGGAGCGGTGATCTTCCACAAACCTGAGGTCACCTTCTGGAACATTCATCCTCTTTTTTTTCATTGTCCCTCTGAAATTCTAGCAAGCCAAGTCATGCTGACTCACCCACTCACACCTTTTCCTGTCTTGATAATGTCTCTGCACCTTTTATATGTATACACACCTAACATGGACGGTACTTGATAGTAGTAGGGATGGCGGTCCAGCGGAACATTTTTTTATTTTGGGAAAAATTCCACTACGCCCCACCGGATTCAATGAATATAACAAAGGTGTCGATACGCCCCACCGGTTTCAACGAACTTTGGAAAAGGGGACCAAACGAACTGAAAGGTTTCTTATGGAGGAAATTCAAAATTTTTCAGAGATCAGTTTAGGAAAATATTTCAGAGTTCATATGATCATAGAAGTTTATTTAAGAGTGTAAGACCGAAATTATTCAAAAAAACAATTTTCAGAGAATATTGTCATAGAAGTCAAGGAAAATAGACAGTCCCACTGCTCTTTATTTTTTTTTACCCCGGAAAATAGACAGTCTAGCAGCCTCTTTTTTTTGGGGGGGGGCCCCGCTAGAGAACCAAGGGCATAACTCGGTGGGTAGGGATCACTGGTGTGCATGGACCCCATTACACTTCTCATTCTATTCGATCACCCTCTGGGAACAGTGAGTGGTTCAGGTAGCCCTTGGGGAAACTGATAGAGTCCCTGTAGTCCTTGGTTGACAGAGAGGAAAAGTGATGACTCCAGTGGTGGTCTTATCACGCGCTCGGAGTTCGTGTGAGGGCCCAAAACTATTTTCTGTGTCCATTTGACCTGGAAAGGCATATAACACGGGATACAAGGTATACAGTATATTATTCCAACTGTGTTTTTTTGGGCTTTGTGGCAATCTCTTGCCACAAATCCCTTCAAAGCTTCCAGTCTAGTTGTTCGTTTAAAGTGAGATTTGGTACCACTTTCTCTGGCTCTTTTCGTCAAAATGAAGGTTTTCCTCCAGGTAGTGTTTTGAGTACTACTCTATTCCTAGTTGATCTAAAAGGTGTTCCTTCATCCCATCCTTCTCCACTTTCTCGGCCTCGGCCCTTTATGTTGATGATTTCCCGCTATGCTGTGCTGTGATGACTTCCCTTCCCTCCAAGGACAGCTTCAACTTGCTACTGATGCTGTGTCGTCCTGGGTCACTAATCTCATCTTCAATTTCTCTACAACTAAGACTTGTGCTTTGACTTTTTTCTCGGAAGCAGGTCGTTCTTCGTCCACCATTGGTGCTCTATGTTAATCTTCTGTATAAAGATTGTAAACTTTTGGTGTTGATCTTTGGTTCCCACTTTTCTTGGTAACTGCATATCTTTCACCTCCGAGTTGAATGCTCTAAGGCCCTTACCTTTTTAAAGGCTTGTCCCCTACTTCTTGGGACGCTGATAGACACACTCCGATATTTATACTTCTCTCGCGTACTGTTTTAACTTCATTATGACTGTCCCGCCTACTCCTCTGTCTCTCCTTCCAATCTTCGTCGTCTTGATGCTCAGCACCATATTGGGTTATTCTCCTGCTCTAGTGTCTTTCGTTCGTCCCCTACCCTGAGCCCGTATGTTGAAACTGGCGTCCTGTCTATAGAGAATTGTCGTGATCATTACTGTTTACGCTACCTTATGCAGTCTCTACAGCACCCTCACTTATGTCGTGCTTTGACCGGTGCCCCACCTGCTGTTCCTGTTCCCTTTCACCACCTTTCTTTTTCTATATGGATATCTCACTTCTAAGATTCTCTCTCGGTTTATGTTTACAATATATCTCATCGTCTCGTTTCATCCTTGGCCCCATGGAGGGTTCGCCTTACAAAGTTTTGCAAGACCTTGACCCAGATGGTAATGACTTAATTATACCCCCTCCTATAGTTATGAATTACCTTTCCTTGAACACTTTTCTTCGCACTCACACTTCATTGCCCTATTCACAGATGGGCCATAGTCTGCCGACGGTATTGGCTAGTCCATTATCTTTCCCGACCAAACTATATTTTCCGCCTATCCTCCCCATCCCCACCCGGAGACTAGCTTTGTCACAGCGGAACTTTATGCAATCCTGCATACTCTCTGTCAACTGCTTTCCCAATGTTAGCATATCTCTGCCATTTGTGGTTGATTTTTGTAGTGCCCCATTGCTCTGGCGTCTTTTTAACCCTATGCATCCTGCTGTGATCGAAATCTAATATTGACTGTTTCTTATCTGAAGCAGATTTAAGACAGGTGAGTTTTGATGGATTCCCAGATATAGTGGCATTACCTTGAATGAATGTGCAGACACTGCTGCTAAGAAGGCTATCTGCACTTGTCCTATTTCCCAAGAAGACATTCCTTATTCAGATTTCTACCCCAGTCATTCTTTCCTCAATTTTTAGACCGCTGGCAAGGTCGTTAATCTGGAGTTACAGAAAACAAACTCTTGAAGGTAACCTATCCTCTTGGCCTTCCTCCAATCATCAGAATAGATGGTGGGAAACGGCATTGGATAGGTTATATATTGGTCATACATACTTAACTCAAGGGCACTTAATGGAACATTGTCCTGCTCCTTATTGTCTCCGCTGTATTATCCCACTTACAGTCATTCATCTCCTTACAGAATGTGATAATCTTTTCAGGACGATCATCTGTCCTGCTTTCCTAATGTCCCCTGAATCCCTCGATGGTGTCGGTGAATCAGATACCTTTAATATCGCTCGCCATATGTTTTTTGTACTAGTTCTGTCATTCTTTGTGATATTTAGTGCCTTTTCAATATCCTGCAAAACTGATGGTGCTGCATAATCTTCCAGGCTCGGTGCCTTCATTTGATAATTACTTACTTATTGGGGTAAGTACTCCCAATACTGTATGTATTAGGGTAACTGCAGTGAAAGTGTGAAACTGTATGTTCCTAAGTGATAACAGGTGGAAGAGACATGTTATGTCTTCTGTATTAAAACTTTCCCTCGGTTGTCTGACAAAAGCAAACACGAGTGAAAGTTTGTGTAAACATATTTCTTGAACCTATCAGTAGAATGTTAGGACTGTATATTTAAAGAGCATCCTTGAAGCTCCATCAACCATCTGTAGCGAGTTGTCTTCAACCTGACCAATAACGTTGCTTCATAACAGTAAAGATCGGAGTAAGTAAAGGTATTAAAATGTCTAACCTTAACTAGACTAGGCAGGTAGGGGCCGGTAGACAACTAGTACACAAGTGAGATACATAACATGGTCGCAGTGGTAGCATAAAGCGAACACGAATATACTCACCAATTTGACTGGTTGATTCGTCGTAATCAAAGGCATCAACTGAGTACGCACAGGAGTCAATGTAATAGAAAGTTTTCCTCTCCAGACTCCATGCTAGTCCATTTGCAATAGACACCTGTGTGGTGAGAAGATTAGATAATAAAGCCCCTCAACTTACTCTAATAATCATATATTATATAACATTATTATAATTTTGTCGGAATTTCGAACCTTAGTTTTACAGATTGTTCTTATGAAAAGTTTGTGATTTTGTGTTTCATGAGTAAACACAATCCAGTAATTTTGTAGTGGTAGCAAAACATGTGTAATATTGGGAGGAGGCAGACTGGGGAGTGGGAGAGACTGGGGAGTGGGAGAGACTGAGGAGTGGGAGAGACTGGGGAGTGGGAGAGACTGGGGAGTGGGAGAGACTGGGGAGTGGGAGAGACTGGGGGTTGGGAGAGACTGGGGAGTGGGAGAGACTGGGGAGTGGGAGAGACTGGGGAGTGGGAGAGACTGGGGAGTGGGAGAGACTGGGGAGTGGGAGAGACTGGGGATGAACATATTACAGTCACTCTCACAATACAAAACATTACAATAATTAAACACCAAACTGCTCTGCTGTGTCATAACAGTTCCATCGTTAGACTCCCTGGGATCATTAGTGTATGGTAATGTAGATCATTTAAATATTATTTGCTATTAGATATTCATTATTGTACTGATAAAATCAGATATGGCAGGGCGGAGATTCGAAGCAGCGTTGTGGTGAATAACAGCACCTTAACCTACTTGGCCACGACAGCCTAGTGGGGTAAGTGAGCTAAGGTGCATGTCAGGTTTCATCTGGATGATGGTTCGAATCCCCGCACTGCTCCAACTGATTTTCTCATTGTTATTTCACACCATTGTGATCTGTGATCTGTGAATCCCACCACAGTCAGTACTGTTACCTAGAAAAGAGATCATAAAAGAGTGCTTTGAAGTAGTCACATGGAGCTGACCTTGTTAACCCGGTCAGTGAGGCGAAGGTCACCGTCCAGACAAAACAAGGAGCCCCGGTACAGTTCTGGCTGGCCGGGGACGTCTTCATGACCCATGGTACCTTGTTAGCACAGGTCAAGAATAAGGCACCTTCAGTATCCCAGCTGACTTAAGGCTAGACAATCATCTTTTTAAAAACTGCTTTGAGTGGGTAAATTTCATGGCAACATTTATGATACTGAAGTGGAAAGTAAAGCTGAATACGGATCATTGCTATATGTACAAGAAATACTGTTTGTTAATGTAGAGTAATCGTCAATAAAGGAAAACCAACAATATTTAGTTCTGAACACCGCTATGTATATGACTTTAACTGTCAGTAACATAATGGATTTAGGAAATAAAAGTGTGGTTACCTGCCCAGAGCCTGCCTCGTGGGTCACACTTGCCGTCATTGAAGCGATTGGTTGGGAAGCGGTGATCGACGGTGTGAAGGATGGCTTTGGGCCTGACGGTGTGGTAGTCTGGGTCGCTGACGGACCACTCCACCACAGCCAGTGATCGCCCCAGACTGACCATAAACAGGTCAGGAGCGCCCTCCACCGGCACCACCAGGGACACTGTGCCTCCTGCCTCACCTCCCTCTGCAGTCAACGATGTGATCAATAGCAATATGATTGTTACAAATTATTTATGGTAGATCCTCTAACTTCACGGCTGTGTGCGGCTAAAGCTGCCACACACACACACACAAGCCCAACACCCTTGTAACATTGTATAACACATTATGTTAGGAATATATGTAAATGTAATGAATAAAACTGTAAGTTTTCACACATATGACAATTTCCCCATATACAAACTTAATGAAACTTTAGGTAAAAACAAACAGCATTATTCATCCATGGATAAACTAGATCAGGTGCTTGGCGGTGCCTGGATACCCGGTGGTGCCCGAGTGCCCTGCTTGTCCAAGCTATTGGGTCGATCATAACATGTTGCACCATGTAAGTGTTAGGAACCAGGGTCAACTGGTGCTTGGGTCGACCCAAGCACCTAAATCATGCTTTGTATGGGCCGGCCCCTACCCACCGATGGGGTGGGTTGTTAAATGACCCAATAGCTCTCAGTAGTCAAAGACTAGAAGTTCGTTTTCATTGACAGAATTAACTTATATGAGAGAACATGAGCCTTCATTGTAACAACAATCTGCAGAAACACGCAAACGGATTATATCTGAAGTAAACAATAATTTAACTTATATATATACATATATACATATATACATACATATATAACTGAAAACTCAACACCCCAGAAGGATTCGAACCCAGTCAGCCAGAAGTACTATGCACCTTGGCATACCTGGTACCTTAACCACTGTCTTGAGATCTTGAGGAAATCTTGAGAGGATTTCGGGGCTTAGTGTCCCCGCAGCCTGGTCCTTGTGGGTAAAACCTGCTGGGATTGATATGAGAAGAGACTACCAGGGACTTGTACTGTACTAAATTAAAAATTACTGTCTGCAATTAATTCAACTGAAGTCTCTAGCTAGGGTCGTAAATCCTAACTCCTCTTTTCCTTATTTATTTATTTATTTATTTATGCATATACAAGAATGTACATAAGGAATGTGAGGATACAATTATGGTAATTACAGTCTTGTAAAGCCACTAGCACGCGCAGCGTTTCGGGCAGGTCCTTAATCTAAGAAAATTTTAAGGAGGTAAATACTTGCAAAATTTATAGACAAAAAAAATGATAACAGATTACATGGAATGAAAAAAAAAAAGATGAGAGAAAATTATAGGTACAGTATATTAAAGCACATAGGTAGCTATGATTGATTGCAATGACAGCTTAAAATGGTAGTTGACAACAAATTGGTAGGCACAATACAGCAGAAACAATATAAGATTGATTGCAATGACAGCTTGAATGGTAGTTGACAAAAAATTGGTAGTCACAATACAGCATATGGCTAGCACATAAAAGAAGACAGCAATGAACACAATGATAAGGTTGTTTGATATTACATAAAAATTAGGAGATTGGGTACCAATAGGTACAGAGCAAATTTAAAGCTCAGTGTAGGAAACTAAATAGATGAAGTTAGGTACTTTTTGGTTTTGCTTTTAAATAAGGCAAAAGTTTTACAGTTTTTCAATTCACTAGGGAGTGAGTTCCATAGACTAGGTCCCTTAATTTGCATAGAGTGTTTACACAGATTAAGTTTGACCCTGGGGATATCAAAGAGATATTTATTTCTGGTGTGGTGATAATGGGTCCTATTACATCTGTCCAGGGAGAGTTTCAGAGCATGGTTTGCATTTAAGAACAGGGTTTTGTAAATGTAGTTGACACAAGAGAATGTGTGGAGGGAGTTAATATTTAGCAAGTTTAGAGATTTAAACAAGGGAGCTGAGTGTTGTCTGAAAGCAGAGTTAGTTATTATTCTGATAGCAGATTTTTGCTGTGTGATGATGGGCTTAAGGTGGTTTGCAGTGGTAGACCCCCATGCACAGATACCATAATTAAGATAGGGGTAGATTAGTGCATAATATAGTGAGAGGAGAGCAGAGTTAGGAACATAATATCTGATTTTGGAGAGTATACCAACTGTCTTAGAGACTTTCTTAGTTATGTGTTGAATGTGGGTACTGAAGTTGAGTCTCTTGTCTAGGAATAGGCCAAGAAACTTGCCATCATTTTTATTACTGATGTTAATGTTGTCTATCTGTAGCTGAATTGCATTTGATGATTTGCTTCCAAATAAGATGTAGTAAGTCTTTTCGATGTTTAATGTTAGTTTGTTCGTTGACATCCATAAGTGGACTTTTTTTAATTCATTATTCACAACATTATTTAGTGTATGTGGGTTGAGGTTTGAGTAGATAAGGGTAGTATCGTCAGCAAACAATATAGGTTTGAGAATATTAGAGACATTAGGCAGATCGTTTATATATATAAGAAATAGAAGAGGTCCTAAGATGCTGCCCTGTGGCACTCCAACGGTAATTGGTAGAGTGGAAGAAGTTGTATCATTGATGGTTACATATTGGTGTCTGTCACTAAGATAGGATCGGATGTAGTCAAGGGCAAGGCCTCGGATTCCATAATGCTGGAGTTTAAGTAAGAGGTAGTTGTGATTAACAGTATCAAAGGCTTTTCTTAGGTCAATGAAGAGTCCAATCGGAAACTCATTTTTGTCAAGGGCTGAGTAGATAATGTCAAGGAGACTAATGATTGCATCATTGGTACTCTTTTGGGACCGATGACAGATTCCTAATGATTCCTAATTCCTAATGACAGATTGTGGGCTGTAAGGGGCAGGTGGGGTGAATGAATTAGTTGATAGGTTGATTGAAGATCCACAGTCCACCTGCAGACAAGTATCTCACATTAACTTGTATTTTTTAATACAAGGATAAGATTTTAATAAATTCAGTTCTATGACTGAACACTGGTTCTGTTTAAAGAAGGGATTTAAACATATACATAGTCCAGCCTAGCACCATAACTATCAACAGCCAAAATATTCTTATACTAATAACACAACAATTTAAATTGTAGAAGTATGATATTAAATGACCTTAAATGTAGTCTAAGTACTATTAACTAAGTACTAAAAATTATATACAATTAGATAAACTTATGTGATAAATTAAAGATAACTGAGCTAGCAATTGTTAAATTAATTTATATATTCAAGTATATGTATATATTGATATATTCAATTTATATGAAGAAGTTCAGTCAGCCTGATAAAATCTTTTTCCACACAAGGGATACTCGTGAGGTTTTGTTTACCGCGACTGAAGCTTTTCCCACACAAGGGACACTCATGCAGTTTCCTATGCTTGGAAAAAGATTCAGCAGCTGCACTACAATATTAATTAATAAATTTACTGAAATATGAGGCGTTGCCTCACCCTATAACTGACAGACAGACTTATTGGATATATTAAAGTTATACAAGCATAAAATTTGCCAATTAATACACTAATAACATTCAATATACTTCTCTGAATGCCAGGTGCCTGTCTGACAAGTGTGCCAAACTGGATAACTTTCTTGTCGAGTTTAGGCATGATATTTTATATCAAGCTTTGCTGTAGATTGTTCTTGTAGCATTGCTACGTGATTTCTCTTTAACTGCGTTGCAGAAGGATGATAGGTGATGTTGTAGGTGGAGACGGTGTCACTTTGTGTGCTCCACTATAACATTATTAGATATGTTTTGGGAATTTTTCCTTGTAGATATATTGTCGAGGTACTCCCCCAGTTCTAGAGAGTAATCACTGGTGATAAAGATAATTCGATAAGATGTCCTGAGCTAATTAATGTTCACTAAGGCACTGTGGTACGTTTTCACTGTTTAGTAAACACAAGGTGTTCTGCCTCAGGCGCCCCCGTCGGTCGCTTGCTCCCGAGTTGGCTCCTCCATCTCCATTGAGAGGGGTAGCTTTCAATGAATATTGATTGATTATTTTTACTGTCTAGACATATTGTTACGACCCTGGGTTCCTCGGTGGAAACCAGAGGTCAAAACTGAGCTAAATAAACTGCCTTATAGTATTGGAAACGCATCACGAGGTGCAGTTGTTTGTATTTTCCCTGCCAGACGTAAGACTATTCTTGTTTCTCAAAGAGCATTTAAAGACTGAGCTTGGGGGTTGATTATTAAATAATAAAATAGGCACCAACTATGTTTACTAATACTTTCTAATCATTTGTAAAGTAAACCTGAGTAATTTGGGATAGGAATGCTGTACGATTAGTTGAGTAGTCTGCTGGCAGCGAGTGAACTGAGGGAGAAGAGTGGAGATGCTCTCTCTTCTCTGGCTGGCGTTGTGGTGAAAGGAAACCTCCTCCCCTTCCTCTGTTTCTTTATTTCTATGTCGTGTTATCCAGTTAAGTAGACTGTGTAGTATCCTCATTGTCTGGCATGTGTTCTATGCGTAGAGTATTGATGTGTAGCAATTAGGTGTTCACTGGTGTTTATTTTTACAAGTTACTCTAGGGGGTTCCAGGGGAACCAGGTGGGCTCCAGTGTTACCAGTAAGATCCCTAGAGTCATTGTTAGTGTCCCTTGCCTAGTAGAACTTTACCCTAGCTTGTTCTCAGTGTAAACCTTGTATCCTGCTTATGTGGACCAAGGCTTTTACCGTAAGATAGTGTGGTAAAGTAATTATTATTATTGTTATTGGTGTGAGTGTATATGGGGGGTTGTTAAAAGGTTAATAAATAAGTAAGTTAGTTAAAGGAGTATCCATTCTTCCTGTGTAAGAGATCTATGATCAACCTCTAGATTGACATGATCTAGTAGCAAGTTAATATTCACTGTGGATAGTGTATTTTAGGAGCCAGGCCTTTTAGATCTCCCATATTTGATAACTCTTAATGCTAACTACTGCCCCTGCATCCATGTTATACTATATCCCCCCATAGTACAGACTCCCATTTATAACACATATGATTGAGATAAGATGTAATTATAATATAATTAGATATAGGATTTAAAGATAATAAGTAGTACTTGATAGTACTACTGATTCTTATTAAGGATTCGATTTAATCCCTACCAGAAATCGAATCAATTGTTCCAATAGTTTAATAATATTAAATAAAGATAAAAACAAACTGTACTACAGGAGACTCAACACCCTATTTACCCACACGAAAATGCTACACCTTACCAATGTGAAGAACCTGGCATCTCTTGGTCTGAAGGAAGTAGCGGTGGACGTCGCCCTTGACGATGTCAACAAAGAGGAGACACTGGTGGTGGTGCACCCAGTGAGGTCCCTCGCCCAGGTGCACCCCTGGCAACACTTGCTCTACCACCGCCACAGACATCACTCCTCCTCCTCTTCTTCCTCAAGCTAAAACAAGATTGTACTATATATCAAAAACTCAATTTAGTCATACATAGGTCATTATTAAACGCCAATAACCATCTTCTATATTTACCGAAATATAATATTCTAGGGAAAGGGGGGGAGGGGTATTACCATGTGGATCTGTCTGTCTCCCACCTGTCCATCTTTCTATCCATCCATCCATCTATCTATCCATCAAGCTATGCATTCATCAATCTATACATTCATCTCACCACCTATACGTCCATCTATCCGGATTTCTATCCAACTGTCTATCTGTCCATCTATTTATCAATATTATCCATCCGTCTATGTTTCCATCTATCCATTCGTCCATCAATCTATCCATCTCTCTCTTTCAATCCATCCACCTATTAATCCATTTTTCCATCCATCTATCTATATATCATCTATCCATCGATCTATGTATCCATCTCTCCATTTATCCATCGATCTATGTATCCATCTCTCCATTTATCCATCTATCTACTCATCCATCTATCCACGTAACAATCAGTTAAATAATCTATCCATCTATTAGTTTATCCATCCATCCACCTATGCATCCGTCTATCTATCCACTTATCCACCCATCTATCTATCCATCTAATTATCCATCAACCCCATCCATCAATCTATCCATCTATCTTTCCATCTATCTCTCCTTCTATCCAACTATCAGTCCAGTTATCCAACTTTCTATCCATGTATCTGTCAATCTAATCGTCTATCTATACCCATATATCCATCCATCTATCCATATGTACATCTATTTATCTAATCTATCTATCTATCTATCTATCTATCTATCTATCTATCTATCTATCTATCTATCTATCTATCTATCTATCTATCTATCAATCTATCTATCTATCTATCTATCTCTCTGGCAATCCATCCATCCATCTACTTCCCCATCCATCTATTTACATTCCATCTACGTTTCCATCCATTTATATATCCATCTTTGAATGTATCTACTGTATGTCTCTGTCTCAATCATCTGTCTCTGTATTTCTCTCCCTCTTTGTCTGTCTCTGTCTGTCTGTCTGTCTCTCTCTCTCTCTCTCTCTCTCTCTCTCTCTCTCTCTCTCTCTCTCTCTCTCTCTCTCTCTCTCTCTCTCTCTCTCTCTCTCTCTCTCTCTCTCTCTCTCTCTCTTTTGTAAAAAGTTTAATAACTAACATTGGTGTTAAGATTCTGACACAGGCGACCACCCTATCAGTGTGAAATATACGAAAAATGTAATAATAACCCCCATTTACTCTAAGCATGGGGCTGGGTTTCTGAGAAAAGGGGGCGTGGCTTCGGAGAAAGGGGGCGTGGATTCTGAGAAAGAGGCGTTGCTTCAGAGCACAGGCCGGGGCTTAAGAAAGCTTTGAAGCTGTAGGAGGAAAGTCTGTTTGGTTACTACGGGCAAATTATGGATAGCAGGAAATTTAGGTCATTTTTTACTAGATCAATAAATAATGGTGTATATTATTATAAGATAATGAAATCATTTTGAAATATTTGTTTTCTAAATATTTAGCTGGTTATATGGCGAGCAGTGTCATAAATTGTCAGGAGGATCTGAGTATGTCCCTGGCATTCTGTGTTCTTATAAACTCCAGCGACCCCGACCAGCCTATGTTCATCCCATACCACAGACTGTTCCCTCTGTTAGTTTGGAACAAACTAGCCCCACGCGTCTAACCTTCAACATTCGACAGAAAGACAAACAAACAGACAAGTAGACAAAGATGCATTCTCTCTAGTAACTATAAAATATAAATAGGTAAATTTGTTCTCGTTTAACATCTATTATGGACATAAGTGTGCATCATGACGGGTGTGTGAACATAAGTGTGCATCATGACAGGTGTGTGAACTTAAGTGTGCATCATGACGGGTGTGTGAACATAAGTGTGCATCATGACGGGTGTGTGAACTTAAGTGTGCATCATGACGGGTGTGTGTGAACATAAGTGTGCATCATGATGGGTGTGTGAACATAAGTGTGCATCATGACGGGTGTGTGAACATAAGTGTGCATCATGACGGGTGTGTGGACATAAGTGTGCATCATGACGGGTGTGTGAACATAAGTGTGCATCATGACGGGTGTGTGAACATAAGTGTGCATCATGACGGGTGTGTGAACATAAGTGTGCATCATGACGGGTGTGTGAACATAAGTGTGCATCATGACGGGTGTGTGAACATAATTATTCTTGTAGCCAATTATATGACTATAACTATATTTTTTATATTTTTAGAATGCGTCCCTGGAAATTCAGCTTGTGGTCATTGAGAACGCCAAGGAATTTGCCATCTATTTTGTTACGAATTTGGGTATTGTTTATCATGAAATATATTTGATTAGAGGAATTATTGCCAAACAAAATATAGAATGTTTTGTCAATGTTGAGGGTGAGTTTGTTGGCAGTTAGCCAAAGATGGACATTATTTAGCTCAGTATTTACTGTGGCATTCAGAGCAAGGGGGTCAGGACTGGAGTAAATGAAGGTTGTGTCGTTAGCAAATAGAATTGGTTTGAGGTGTTGGGAGGCATTTGGAAGGTCATTAAAGTAGATGAAAAAGAGGAGAGGGCCAAGTATGCTGCCCTGGGGGAACACCGATGTTGATGGGTAGGGTGGGAGAAATTGAATTATTCACATAAACATACTGGAGCCTGTCAGTAAGGTAAGATTTGAGGTATTGCAGGGAGTGTCCTCTGACTCCATAATGATGTAATTTAAGAAGGTTTTGGTGGTTGACAGTGTCAAAAGCCTTACGCAGGTCCCACGAATAACCCAACAGGGAACTCATTTTTATCAAGTGCTGCATGAATCAAGTTAATCATACTAATAAGTGCATCATTAGTGCTTTTTTTGGGTCTGAAGCCATATTGACATTAGCTAAGTATATTGTGTTTGGCTAGATAAGAGTAAAGCTGTTTGTAGATTAGTTTTTCAAATATTTTTGACAGGTTAGGCAGGATTGATATAGGTCTGTAGTTGTTAACATCTGTGAGATCACCACATTTGTGGACAGGGGTTACTCTCGCTTTTTTTAGAATATCTGGAAAGGTTTGAAGTTCAAGTGACTTGTTGAAGAGCAATGCAATAGCAGGGGCTAGAGATCTGGAGTTTTTTTTGTAAATTAAAGTTGGTATCTCCTCAAGGGCACTAGACTTGATTTTAAGGGAAAGGATTATCTCATTAACGTCAGTGGAATTAGTAGGCTTTAGGTACAGAGACTGTGGATAGTTACCTGTAAGATAGTCCTTAACATCAGTACTGGAGGATGGAATATCATTTGCAAGAGATGACCCAATGGAGGAGAAGAACCTATTGAACTCAATAGCAGAATCAGAGGCTGAAAGCTGACCATCGTTATTGGACAGGAGTGTTGGTTTGTTATTTAAAATCTTCTTTGATCCCAATATTTGTGAAATTGTGCCTCAAGTTTTTTTAATGTTGCTCTTTATTTGGGTAAATTTATCTTCGTAGTATTTAGTTTTGGCTCGTCTAATTATTTTGGATAGCAATAACGAGTAATTCTTTGAGAATTCTTTGGAGACGGTTCCTAACCTATACTTCTTCTCAAGGTCATGTTTTTTATTAATGGATTTAAGTATTCCCTTTGTAAGCCAAGGATTGTTAAGCCTTTTGGTTGTGACTTGTTTTGTAAGCATAGGACAGTGGGTGTTATAAAGGCTGAGAGTTTTTAGAAGAAAAGATTGCACTGCTAGGTTGATGTCCCCTATGTTACCTAACTCGGACTCCCAGTTGACATTATCAGCAGCAGGTATAAAATTGGCTATAGCAGTTTCATTGTGCAGCCTAAAGCTTAACTCCCTTGTCTCTAGAGGTGGTTTGTTAATGTTAGTTAAGAGAAATGTGGGGTAATGGTCTGTAGTGCTATCGGTGATTATACCTGAAGTTAGAGGAGAGGTTATGTTGGTCCAGATGTGATCTAGAGTCGTGGCAGTACTATCAGTGATTCTAGTAGGTCTAGTGATTAAGGGTATTGTGGTGTTTGTGTGTTGCTGAGGAAGTCTTGGTTGTAGGGTTGATATAAAGTCATTGCTTGGTTACTGACTTTAATACTTAAGATGATACATGACTAGTAGCTTCCAAGCTGGTAGCGTCCTGTACGCTCTTGTTCACCTTCTCTACTCTGGCGTCTCGGCCGCCGCACATAGAAAACGGATGGTACCATTTTCTGTGAACATGACATCCCTCCTTTTCTTTAAAAAGAATGAATACAGGATATCTACCATGCTTGTAGCACAAAGCAAAGTTATTGACACAAAGTAAGTTATTAACATATCAAGAGATATTGCATACATTTAACATTAATTAGGCACACAAAGAATTTAAACAACTTAATCTTTACCACACAGGATTTCAATGTTAAAAATACAAATGCAATGTTAAACAAACATGAAAGAAACTGTAATACAAAGTTACAAAATATTGAATAAGATATCTGCATTATTCAAACAATATTAAATTTAGTTTAGCATAATAAGTAAATACTTTGCATTACATAGGAACACAATTAATCATGAAATCGCTTAGGACGTTTAACATGACGTTTAGGACGAGAGTCTCCAAATACCATAACATCCCTTGATGAATTGTTTATTGAGTTATAACTCATTTTTTCTTTTTCTTTTGCACGACTTTGCACTTCATCATTTTCTACACTAGTTGAAATCACTTTGAAATAGGCCATATTACGTGTTATACTATGATCTCTATTACTAGCTCTTACCATAGTTCCTTTTACACTAATCACTTTATATGGTTTTGTATCATACGGCATATCTAACTTTCCCTCTTTTTTCTTTTTAACGAGAACAGTATCTCCAACCTTTATGACTTGTTCTTTTGCACGTTGATCATGAGCAATTTTCATTTTGCCCTTGGCTAGTGTATCCTTCTGAGAGAAACGTTTATCCATTACCTCGGCTGGCATGACGGGTAGTGAGATCCTCATAAGACTTCCA